CTGGAAGGTAGGTGCGATTATGATTTCTATTTTACAGCTGAGGAAACTGAGGTAGATAAAAATTAAATGATGTGATCAGTGTCACAAAGCTAGAAAGTAGCTGCAGCCAGATTTGAACTCAGGTTCCATCCACGTGACATAATCACATCTGAGTTTTAGGAATATTAATTGGCAGTTGTATAGAGGGTGGATTGTAGAAGGGAGACATGGGGGAAAGGAATTAGTTAGATCAGGAATGATGAGGGCCCAACTAGATCAGTTTGACATTCAGGGAGAGAGAAGGGGGCAAGTACAATACACGTTGCAGAGGTTGTTGATTGGCTATCAGGGAGAGAAAGAGGGAGAGGAAAGGGTTCTGGATAATTCTGAGATTACTGAACCTGGAAAAATGGTAGTGCTTGCTGTAGAAATAGGGGAAAGTTACGTAGAGGCTCCATTTTCAGGGTAAATGTAATGAGTTCTGATTCGGATATATTGAATTAGGGATTTCTATAGCATCCAGGTGATGAAGTTGAGCAGGTAATGTAGGAATGAGCTTCAGAGAAATGAGGACTGGATATATAGGTCACAGAGCCGTCAGCATACAAATGACAACTGAACTAATCTGAGCTGATGAGATCCCCAAGAAGAAATGTATATGGAAAGAGAAGAGCGTCTAGGACAGAGCCCTGGTGTACAGCCATAATTAGGGGACAGGACAGTGATGAATATTCAGTGAGGGAGGCTAAAGACAAGTGGCCCAACATGTTAGAGGATGTCCTCACTCAAATGATATTTCGGAGCAATCCTCCCACTTCCCTTTTCTAGCTCAAAGTTGTAAACAGAGTCAGCCCTCAGCAAAGATGTGAATGAGGGGCCCTTCATCTCAAAATAAAGTTTGTCTCACAGAATATGGAAAATTGGAGCTGTAAAGGACTTTAGAATACAAAATGGCCAAACTCGAAGGGACGTTATGATACTAAAAATAGAATGCTAAAGCTTGAAGGGAACATGGAACTGTATTCTTCCCAACATACAGATCAGCTGTAATGATAGCAATTGCCCACTAGATGACACTATTTGCTTTCTGAATACTATAAAAGTTAACAAGCATTTATTAAGTGCTTACTATGTACCTATGTGCTAAGCTCTAAGGATACAAAGAAAGGCAAAAACATGTCCTGTGCTCTCAAGGAATTTATATTCTAGTGAGGGAGACAATATGGAAGTAACTAGGTACATACAAGATATAGAGAGAGTGGATGAAAGTTCATCTCAAAGGAAAAAGACTAGCAAGTGAGTGGTAGGGGTAGGTAAGTCTGGGAAATGTGTTCTTCAGAATATGATATTTAAGCTAAGTCTTGAAGGAATTCAGAGAAACTAAGAAGCGGAGATGAAGAAGTAGAGAATTCCAGGTAGAGAAAACAGCCAATACAAATGCGGAGTCACGAAATGGAATGTCCTGTGTGAGGAACAGCAGATGGCCCTGTGGAGTTGGACCATAGAGTAAATGAAGGATAGCCAGGTGTGAGAAGGATTGAAAGGTGGGAAAGTTCCGTGTTGTAAAGAGCATTAAAAGCCGTTAAATGGATGAGGTGCTATTTGATTCTGGAAATCATAGGAACTTACTGGAGTCAATTGAGGCGAGTGGAGGTGGGGCATGGGTAGACTAGTGCCTTAAGAAAATTACTTTGGCATCTGAGAGGGGATGGATGAATTGACACAGGGAGAGTCTATTATAATAGTGCAGGCCTTACAAAGGTGGTGGCTGTATGAGTGAAGATAAGGGAACATATTTGAGAGATGTTCTAAAGGTGTTGAAAATAATAATAGAATGTATATACTGCTTTGAGGTTTGCAAATATTATCTCACTCGATCCTCACATCAACCTTGAGAAGTAAGAGCTGTTATTGTTCCTTTTTCATAGTTGAGGAAACTGAGGCAGCCAGAGGTTAGATGATTTGCCCTACATCTGAAATTCATCATGTCCAAAGCAAAACTCATCATATTCCTCCCCCCAGTTCTCTCCTATTACTAATTTTCCTATTAGGCTAGGAAACTTCCATCATCCTAGACACCCAGGCTCACAACATCAATGTTATTCTTGATGCTCCACTCTCATTTACTCTACATATCTGATCTGTTGGCAAATCAAGCTAGTGGATAGAGCATTAGTCATGGATTTCTACTCTTGTGATGACAGCCTTACAAGGGTGGTAGCTATATGACTAGGAAGTGTCTGAGGCTGGGTTTGAACTCACCACTTCTTGGCTCCAGCATAACACTGATGTTGTGAGCCAGGATGTCTAGAATGACTGAAGTTCCTTAGACTGATAGGAAAATTAGTAATAGGAGAGGATTTGAGGGGAGAGATAATGAGTTTTGCTTTGGACATGTTGAGTTTCAGATATCTACAGGCCATCCAATTTCAGATGTCCAAAAGGCAGTTCATGGTGAAGGACTGAAGCTCCAGGAGAGACCTTAGGGCAGGAGATATGGATCACCAAGTGAGAGAATGTAAAAGGGAAAGGGGTACAGGACACAGTCTTGGACACTACTACTGTAGGCACTTTTGTGCTCCCAGGTGAGATGAAAGAATTCTAGGTCTAGACATGATAGGGACCTTAAAAGCCATTGAGTCCAATTCCCTCATTTTATAGATATAGAAACTGAGGCACACAGAAGGTAAGTGATTTTCTCAGTGTCACACAGCTGGGGTCAGTCTGAGGCAGCATCTGAACTCAGGTCTTCCTGACTCATAAGTTCAACTATGCTATTTAGGCACTCTGAAGGTAAAAAGGGAGAAGGAATTCCATAATCCCTTACAGTAATTCAGAGCCAGAGACACCATGGGGCATAGAGTTAAAGATTTATTTGGGTTGTAGAAAGAGTAAGACATAAGGAGTCTGTTTGAAGCATATTTGAGTGTTATTTGTGGGAGGAAGAAGAAACCTGGAATCTATATAATGAAGGTTATCTCTCTAGGCTTTCTTCCAAAGCTTATGTTCAGATAGTTGAAGCTGTAACGCAGAACAGCAGATCTGGAAGGGACCTTAGGGATGACTTATTTGTTGGTGGTGTTCAGTTGTTTCAGTCCTGTCTCTCTTTATGACTCCATTTGGGGTTTTCTTGGCAAAGATACTGGTTTGCCATTTCCTTCTCCAGCTCATTTTACAGATGAGGAAATTGGGTTAAACAGAGTTAAGTAACTTGCCCAGGGTCACACAGTGAGTAAATGTCTGAAGCCAGATTTGAGCTCAGGTTTTCCTGGGTTTCCAGGCCCACTGCTCCATGCATTGTACCACCTACGTGCTACAGAAATTATCTATTACCATCTCTTTATTTTACATATCAGACCTGGGAAATGACTTGCCCAAGGTCACTCAGCACAAGGCAGGGGGCAAAACAAGAACTCAAACTCAGGTGTCCTGATTCCTAGGCCTACAGCTATTTCCATTACGCTGTGCTGCCTCAACCTTGATGTAATGATTATCAGAGTATGGAGAGACTTTCTTGTGAGGAAGTCCTACATTAAGGCCTTTGAGACTGCACCAATGACTTACTATGAGGTTAGCAGCCAGTTACCCATTAAAGCCCTAAAGGAGGGGTTCAAAACTGATAGCTTTATTCAATAAATCAATACTTTAAGCACCTTCTACATACTAGTCACTGGGTTATGTTCTTGGGATACAAACAAAAGTGAGATAGTCTCTGCCCTCAAGAAACATGCATTCTGTTAAGGGGATAAAACAAATAATTGGGAATGGTGGACAGGGAAGGGAGCTTGAGTCTAGAATCTAGATGGCCACAGGGAGAGTGAGTAGTGATGGGGCAATAGATTGGCATGAACAAATGAATGAATGAAAAGCATATATAAAGCATTTACTATTAGCTAAGCACTGCACTGGTATAAAAATACAAAACAAAAGTCTATTATATTCTGATAAAGGAAACAACATATATAAGGGAGTGGTCTCCAGGGAAGGGTAGAAAAGTGCTTTGGACTGGAGAATATCAGGGACGGTTAACAGAGCCAAGGAGGAGCCAACTGAAATGTCCTTTCCAGAAGCAATCATTTTTTTTATTTGATTCAGGTTCCCAGAGCAAAAAGTAGAAAGGGATGGGATGGTGTTTGAGGGGAAGGGGATGTAGTGAGTAGCAGGGCAGGTGTTAAAAAGATAGTTGGGGAGGATGGTGGGATGGGATGGGAAATATGCTCTAGTAGTACAGTAATGTTGATTTTGATTACTATTTCCTGAGCAAGACATGGTAAGTGAAGGAAGAGTGAGAATAGCAGGGAATATGTTGATACAGAGTACGACTGAATGGGATTATAATCTAGATTGAAGAAGTTTTGCCAGGAGGTGAGGGGGCACATGATTTGGAGTGGAGAGAGCTTCTAGGAAGATAAGATCCAGTGGACAAGCCAGCACACAGTCAGGAGGCAGGACGAGGTCTCTGGGAGATAGACAAGAATGGCATATGGGTGCAGGAAAAGAGAGCCAAGAAAAACTAGCCCAGAGAACCAAGGCCCTGCCATCACATAGGAAGACAAAACTGGAGTAAACATTGACCTTGGGTTCCCTGGGCCCCCAGAATAACACATTCCATCTCTCAATAACCATTAGCAACGAAGGCTCAGAAATATGCTTTTATAAAGGGAGGGAGCCTGAATGAGAATCAGACTCCTAGAACTTTGGAGCTGAATAAGACCTTGGATACCACCTGTTCTAACTCCCTCAATTTACAAATGAGGCAACTGAAGCCCAGAGAGAAAGACAGTGACTTCCCTAACATCACAAAGCTAGTCAGTGGCAGAGACAAGACAAGAAACCAGGTATCTGGATTCTTAGTGCCATCTACCACACCACATTGCCTCCACTACACCTGATGAACACAAGAAGGTAGACGGATAGAAATGCACATGATAATGAACACCAATGGTCATTTAGATGGGGAACACAGACAACTTTATTGGGTTTTCATTTCCATCCTCTAGTTTGTGACTTTTATTATTCCTCCATGAGAGCCAACCGAATCCTTCAGGGCTAACTGCATCTCTTCCTTTTCTTTGTAATCACCCTTTCACTCTGTACAACCTGTAAAACAAGAGTGAGAGTTTATGAGGGGGTCAGGGGCATGACAGGGTCTGGGGAAGAAGAGTTAAGGATCAAAACTCTAGACAAGATTTATCTTTGTATCTCTTTCAACAGTAGGAACTTAATAAATGATTGTTTGAATACATGGATGGATGGATGGATGGATGGATGGATGGATGGATGGGTGGATGGGCAGATGGATGGATGGATGGATGGATAGACAAATGGATAAATGGATGGATGAGTAGATGGATAGAGGGAGTGAATTAATGACTTACAAAGTATGGAACCTTTTATTCCAATGGATCTAGTTACCAAATAGTCTCCCCAACCTCCTAAGAATGTTGACCCTATAGGAGATATTACACGTTTTGGTTTTCCAAGCCCTCTCATTCACTAAAGAAAAAATTGGAGTTTTGTCTATAGTCTGCCTTAGGAATGCCATCCTCTACCCCCTTTCATTCATCCAAATACAACTTTTAGAACCCAGCTCAAGTTCCATTTCCTTCAGGAAGGCAACCCCAGTGATCTCCCCTCTCAGAAGTCTTATATGAAGAAGACTGACCCATACAATCTCATACTCAATACCATACTCACCTATCTTGCTCTGTAACTGATTCAAGTGAAGATGTCCTGTCTGCGGAACTAAACCCTGCAAGGTCAGAGGGCCTGCCTTTTCCCTCATTTGTATCCCCCTTAGCATCTAGCACAGGTGTGCACATACAGTATGTGTTCAGTCAGTATTTGTTGACCTGGCCTGAATTCACAAAGGGGACGGTGTTTGGATACAGTCAGAAATGTCCTAGACCAGGAGTTGAGGCTGAGATTCCAGTCCCAATTCTGCCACTAATTCTATGACATTGGGCAAGTCAGTTATTCTCTCTGGGTCTCAATTTCCTCATTCATGTAATGACCCAGATGAGCTTAGATGATCTCAATGTCCCTTTAAGCTCTAAAATCTTAGCTTCTATGATCCTAGTCATAAAGCTCCTTACCTGTTCAGTCTCCCTGTCACTGTTGCTGCTTCTGCTGCTGCTACTGTCACTCTCACTCCCAAGGTCCTCCTGTAAGGGAGATGAAGCTGCTGAAGCTGTTCAGGACAGCCTATCAAGTCCCTTGTTATCTATCATGGGTCTTCTCTCTCACCTTAATAGCACCTCCCTTCCCCACCCCATCTTGTGGAAGAGTCCCAGAGAAGAAGTCTGTTATGGTGGATAGTGAATAGTGTTGCATTTGAAGTTGGGAAGATCCAGGTTTGAATTCCCACCTCTGACACTAGCTGTGAGATCATGGCCAAGACATTTAACCTCTCTGAGCCTCAATTTCTTATTTGTAACCAAAAAAAAAGGTAGGGGATAGTAATATATACAGTGCTCACAAGGTTGGTTCTGACATTCAAATCAGACAATATATGCAAAGCACTATGTAAATTTATTTTAAGAGAACTAGATTCTACTCTTGGCTCTATCACCAACTCATTATATGATCTTGATTTAGTCACTTCACCTCTGAGCCCATTTCCTCTGTAAAATGAGAGGTTTGAAAAAAAAATAATATAAAAAGTCCTTTCCAGCTCTGACACTATGTCAATTTCTAAAGTCTTTTCCAACTCTGACATTATGTCCTATGATCCTATGACCTTACTATAAAGATTTCCAAGAGCTTGTTGATGAATCTTGAATGTCAATGGTCTGTCTTCCTATCCCAGGTAGGTGACACAGAGACCGCCTCCTTATTTAAGGGAGAAGCAGGGATCCCAAAACTTTAACAACCCTTTGAATGACTTAAAGGGCAAGGGAAAGAATTTTCATTGTCAACCTGGGTGAGGAAAGCTAGAGAAGACCTCAGATCCATGCAGGGTGGGAAGCCCATATTCAGTTAAAGACTAGTCTAGTTAAGTGAGCAAGTCTAGGAACCCAATAACATACACAGATTCCTGGCTGCAGTATAGGCCATGGTCTTTTATATTTACACAGTGAAGTCACTACAGAGGTCCCTCTGACCAAGTGAGGGTAGTCCTGGCTCAACAAATGACAGCAATAAGGCAAATGATAGGGACAGCCCTGGCCTTTGCTTTGCCAGTGCTGACCCCCCCCCCCCCACTGCTCATCCTTAGTTCAAGCTTCTGCTGCTGTTGCTGCTGCTGCAGTGGTGGCTACTGCAGCAGCTGCTATTGCTGCTATATACCATCCTTCTTACTTTTTACCTTCTTCTTCTCTTTCTCCTGATCTTTTTCCTTGTGTTTGTCATCATCTTTGCCAAATCCTACAGGTGGAGGCAAAGGTATGGCAAGGAGAGTAGAAAGAAAACCCCAGTGGAAGAGAGCTAGATTTAGAATGAGGACTTAGATTCAAATCTGGATTCTGCCTCTTATTGCCTGTGTGACCTTGGGTGAATCATCTAATGTCTCTAGGCCTCAGTTTCTTCCAGTTTCAAATGAAGGGGTCTGACTAGATGACCTCAAGGTTTCCTTCCAGCTCTGAATCCATGATTCAATGCTAGAAGTGAGGCTGGCCTGCTTGCCCCATGTACAAAAAGGACTGGAATGTCTACTTCAGCTCATAGAACTTAAAAACCATGAGTAACCTTAAAGATCATCAGGTGGTTCAACCCACCCCTATCACAAATGAGAAAACGGAAGCCCTGAGAAGAGAAGTGGCTTGTTCAGGATTGCACAAGTAGTCAGTACCCATGTTCTCTGACTCCAGATTCTGTGTAATTTCCACTATCTCCGCATTGATTACTCCAAGCCCTTCTTCGAAATTAGGAGGCATGTTGGCATTTCTTCCCAAAATACTAACAGACCTAAGACCACCCTGAGAAAAGTGGTGAAATTTGCTTTAAGAATCCTACAAAAATGGATGCCCTCAAAATTCATATTTCAAAACAGATGCCATCTTTCTTGAGACTCCCATTGTCTACTAACAGAGACCTCCATGAAGGAGAGCCCAGTACAGGGTGTTAGGAAGAAGGACCTTTGGACGCACATCATTGTGGCCACCAGCACCTCAAGCTCTATGGATTATAGATCATCCCTCCGTGAATCCATCTAAAACTACGTCAGTTTGTATGGTCCAATATATTAGTTCACCAGCTCTCCCCCCACCCCAACTCAACCCTCCTATGAGTGTCAAGACACTTCAAGCAGATGGTTGATTCTGCAGCTAAGAGAGAGACAAGGAGGCAGTTCTGGCCTCCCTCAGAAAGTTTTAAAATTAATTGTACTGCTGATGTTTGAGAAGGAGGGCATCATGGTATTCTCTAGCCAGTCCTCTTACAGTAAGGGAATCATTCTTCCTGACCTCTTTGTAATGTTCTTATGACCTTGGGAATGTCATTTACCATCTCTGGGCTTATTTTCCCAACAATAATATAGAGAAAATGTTTGGCTAGTCAGTTTCCAAAGTACCTTCCAACTCGAACATACAATGTGCTAAGGTCTCTTCTAGCTCTGAAAAGCTACGGATCTGCATGATTCTGCTTAGGCAAACTGGAGGTTAAATGAGTCTGGGCCTCAGCTAAGACTTCTTGTCCACTAAGAGCGTCTTCTACCACACTTCACCCAAAAATACAGCCTCCTTCCTTCCATTCGAGGAATACAAGGACTATTTAATGGTCATTGCTGAATTTTAATTGCCTTTTGGTTTAATTGCCTTCAGAGAAGGCTGGGAATGATGGAACAGGAGTAGAGAAAGAATGCATAGGGGACACTACTCCCATTGTGGCTGGTTGCCTTTTGGAAGAGGCACCCCTACCTACCAGAATTGGGGATGTTCTCACCCTATCAAAAAGAGAAAGCATTGTCAATTCCCTTCCTCAAAGGGAAAGAAGGATTCTGATCACTGTCTGCAACAAAAGAAATGATGAGAGGTTGGAAACAGGAAAGGACAGGAACCTCCTGGATATCAAAGTAATAATAATAATGAGTCTAATTATTCTCCAATTTCTGCTCTGAGATGGGGTGAGGAAGAAGGATTTAGGTCTGGGCCCAGTTTAAAGCCCACCTTTTTAATTTTCTTAGATTCTGGGAGGATTCTTAACTCAAGGTGAAGTTTTCAATCCAATTATATGGAGCCATTTTTTTTTTTAGCAAGCATAGTTCAATTTATTTGCTTACAAAAAACATCTATGTGGTTGCCACAGCAGCTGCCTGGGTCCTCTGGACAGACATGTGAGTGTGAGTCTTCACTAGATGATCGGTGAATTCCTGATAGGGAGACTTAGTGACCACAGTCTCCTTCCGCAGGTCTGAGGTTAGACAGCTGTATGTCTTGGAGGTGGCAATGAAGGCTGCTTTAGAGCAAAGTTGCCCAGAGTGGCAGTACAGCCCCCTGCAGATGTGTAGCAGTCAGCACTTCCAGCCATCATCAGGAGCTTCTTAGGCACAGGAGCCGAGGTAATGCCAGTACCTCGAGGGGCTGGGATCAGGTGCACCAGAACCGATCCACATCTCCCAGTGACCTTGCAGGGCACTGGGTGAGGCTTGCCAATCTTGTTCCCCCGGTAGCCACATCTCACAGGAACGATGGACAGCTTGGCCAGAATGACAGCACCATAAATAGTTGTGGCCACTTCCTTGGAGCTCTTGACACTCAGGCCAACATAGCCATTGTAATCACTGATGGCTACAAAAGCCTTGAACCTGGTATGTTGTCCAGCTCTAGCTTGTTTCTGGACAGGCGTGATCTTCAGAACCTCATTTTTCAATGAAGATTCCAAGAAGAAATCTACAATCTCAGACTCCTTGATAGGACGGGAGAAAAGATAGATCTCTTCCAAAGACTTGATTTCCATGTCTTTGACTAGCCGGCCCAGCTTAGTGACTGGACCCCACTCCTAGTCTTTAGCCATTCCTCCCCAGGCTCCGTGGCCGTGGCCATGACCTTGACCTCCACCCCATTGCCAAAGCCACAGTGGAAACTACCTTAGCCTCCGACTATGGGGTCCCCAGGGCCTCCCACTCCTCCTGCAGCACCAGCGTCGTCCACCATTTGGTGTTCATTAGAAGTAGAAGCAAACCATTTTTTTAATGACAGAACTTTCTTCTGGGTCTTGGTCACTGGGGACATGCTGTCATCTCTCCCACTTCTATTTTCATACCTATTTCCCCTACCTAGGGCTAAAAAGCTTCCAGCCTAGTGGCAGCAAAAGCCATGAGAAAAGAAAAAACATTCACTTACCTTGCTGAGAAGTAGAGGGGTGAGTTGATATCTCCACAGCCAGATAGCAGATGCTTCCTCAATGCTGGTTTTGTCCTTTTATGCTGTCTCCTCTGGATCTCTTCTTCCTTCAAGAGCAGAAAAACTGGTTGTCTCAGAATTCTGAGGAATCTTAGGCAGATGGGAACTGATGTTCCTATGAAAGCCTTTAAGTGTAAGCCCTCCCCCCCTTTTTCACCCCCTTTCTTTCCTCAGACCACCAATTATGTTCCAACTATGATACATTTCAAAATGAACTGGTTAAGAAAATCTGGCCAAAAGCAGCTAAGGGGCTGTCTAACCCACACTGAGTATCTCATTCACACATTTCAGTTAGTGATAGAATTTATTGGAGCGAACTTGTCTCACTCAATCTCTTTGCTGGGACAAGTGCACAGTGGGAAATGGTCAATTAAAACACATAAAACAGCTGTAACAATTATAACAGTATCTAGACAAAGGCAGCTGGGGTGTGATAGAAAGAGCAATGAATTTAAAATCCAAAGGGATGGGTTCTAATCCTACCTTGGTCACTTCCAAGATATGGGACTTTAGGAAAGTCATTTCTCCTCATTGTGCCTCAGTTTCCTCATATGTAAAGTGGTAATAATAATAATACCAATAGAAATGCCAGTTAGTTTTTATTTCCTTAAAGATCATCAACCCAATAGAACAGAAGCTCCTCAAGGGAAAGCACTATCCCCATTTCTTTGTACTTGGCTCAGTGCCTGGAACATAGCTGTATTTAATAAATGCTTAATGAGTTGATTTGACTTGACTTGAAATAGTTGTTTAAGCTTTAGGATATCCTAGAGGCTCATCCCTGGGCTACTCACTCTCCAAAAGCCTAGTCAGGAAGTAAAGATGCTGGTGGTCCCAGCTTTCTCTGCAGATACAGTGAGAGGCAGTTTTATCCTTGAAGACAGAGGTCAATGGTAGAAAATGCTCCAGTGCCTTATCTTCCTTCCCCTCCTCCCAAGAAGATGGGGGAGAGACTGATTCTGGTTATGACGTCCCCTCCTATTCAGTCCCTAACCATCAAAGAAAAAGCCCTTACAAACACACAGTAAGCAAAAGCAGAATTAAAGAAGAGAAAGATCCAGGAGTGAACTGGAGACAGCTTCAATCAGCTCACGAAAACTGTGAAGTTTTCATTGTGAACAACTACCTTTCAGAAATCAGCAAATGCTACAAAACAGAGTTTAATTTGTCGTGATCGTTTAGACTTAAGAATGTGATGAAGAAAATGTTAATAATGCAGGTTAAAATAAAAGTGTGTCATGAATACATTTTTTTTTCAGAGAACCAGTCGCTAAATATTTGCCAGCACACCCCTGGAGTAATCAAGTTTTGTCATAGGAAGCTTTACAGGGAAGACGGGACTTGCCTGGGCCTTATATTTCCTTTTATGTTTTGTCTCCACCTATCATAATGTAAACTTCTTGAGAGAAGGAACCATCTTGTGGTTTTTTTTCTTTTTTATTCCCTGCACTCAGCTCAATGCCTGGCACGTTAGCAGGCACTTAAGAAATGCTCTATTTTATAAGTGCCATCTTGCCTCTTTAATGAGGCTGAATACAGCAGAAATACTAAGATGTCAAAGCTGGAAGAACACTTAGAAATGATCTAGTGCAGCCCACACACATGAGACAACTGAGGTCCCTGAGAGAAAAATAATTTGTCCAGACAATACAAGTAAGTCAGTGGTAGAGCATATGGAAGGTGCTCAAAAATAGTTGTAGATAGACTGTAAATTGTAACTCACTATAGACTGGGGCGTTGAATAAGGTTTCAACCCGCTGTTTTGGATTCAAAAGATAGCAACATAGGATAGCGTCAGAAAGCATCCACATTTAATCTCACCATTTAGGACTACCATGGAAGTTTGAATACTTTTATTTTATTACTACATAATTTAAGTTGGATCTGAAGGTGGACTTAAGAAATAGTAAACAGTAAACATTCTTGAATTCATTACTCTCCCTGAGAAGAATGTTCCTTTTACATTACAGAAGAGCTACTAAATAAGTGCTCTGAAATCACAGAGTAACCACGGAATGAAATAGGCTGCCTCTGAAGGTAAGAAGTTATCCCTTACTTTAAGTCTTCAAGCAAAAGTGGAAAATCCTAAAGCTTAAACAACTATTTCAAGTCAAGTCAATTCATGTCAACAAACATTTATTAAATATTGCTGTGTGCCAGGTACTGTGCTAAGTACAAAGAAATGAGATAGTGCTCTATTCCAAAGAGCTTCTGTTCTACTGGGTTAGGGATCCTCAAAGGAAACGAAGACTTTTATCCTGAATCTTAGACTATTTCCTGCCGTGTTTCAAATCAAGATTTCTCTTCCAGAACATGTTAGAGTAGAAGGGATGTCTCTGGGGGAAATTAATTTCTACATACCTCAAGGGACTTGGTGAGGAGAAATGAAGTCCAACGAGATACTGACTCAGAAGAGACTGAAAGACCAAGAAGGAGCAGGTCCAACAAGATCAGAATAGCCACAGGGAGAGTTCATCAAGGCTTACTGACCCTCCTGAAATCAACTAATCCTCTTCTCTCTCATAAACCCAACCAAGAAATTTGGAGGCCAGGAGGACATGCCCAGGATTGTAGATGCAAAATCCCTATCCTCTCAGATCTGTCCTCAGAAGTAAGGAGTTTAAGAGAAGTTGAAGCAGCTTCTGTGGTGGGCATGCCAGCACTCTACCCTTATGGGAGAGTTTCAGCTACTTGGTTATCCATAGTTTTTTGTCAAATTGTAGCAAGGTTTGGCATGTCCATTTGCTCTGAGCCTCAGGGTTTAGAGAGGTGGGTCCTAGCTAGATCTGTAATGAGAAGATAGTGGAATTTCATCCTTCAAAGGAATACTAGAGGCCATCTAATCTAACCCCTACCTAAAGCAGCAATCTCCTCTAAAACTTCCCCCAATAAATTTATCTAGCCACAACTTGAACACCTAAAGTGACAGGAAACTCACTACCTAACAAGGCAGTAAATTGCATTATTAGACAGCTTTTAATGCTAGAAAATTCTGCCTTATGTTATGCAAAAATCTGCCTTCCTTTAACTTCCACTTACTGTCCTTAGTTCTGCCCCCAAGGTCAAACAAAAAATGCCTGTTGCCTCATCCTTTCAAATATCTGAAGACTACCCCCAAGTCTTCTCCCCTTTAAACAATCCTGCTTCTTTCAACTGATCATCATATGACATGGTTTTGAGTCGTTTGATCATCCTGATCACTCTCCTCTAGAAGCAATTTAACTTGTCAATGTCCTTCCTAAATGGCCACAATACTTCAGATGAGATATGGCTAGAATAGAGGACAGCTGGGAACCTTTCCTCCTTTTTGATACTAGACTACTCTTAATGCAACCTAATAGTCTATCAAAGCATTTTGCTTTAGAGTGGACATGTGGAAGAGCTTTGTAATCCCATTTCATCTCACCACTGCCCTATTAGGTAAGTTGGGCAGCTGTCATTGCTTCTCCAGTATTTCAAAGATCTATAATTTCATCAATGTGGCAATTCCCATCACTGATGTAGATAACAGCTAACCCCCCAGTAGTGGTCATTTGAGAGTTATTGTGGCTTAAAAAATGTGTCTGCCTTTAGTTGGAGCCTCGCTCCATACTTAACTAGTCTAATCTTGGACAAAAGAAAAAAATTCTAGTACTGAATCTATATTTAGGATCATAAGATAGATTATAAATACTAAACCAAGAAGCTGCTAGAATTAATGGAAAACTAAAGATTGGGCAGCTAGGTGGCTCAGTGGATAAAGTACTGGGCCTGGAGTTAGGGAGACTCATCTTCCTGAGTTCAAATCTGGCCTCGGACCCTTACTAGCTGGACAAGTCACTTAACCTCATTTGCTCAGTTCTTTATCTGTAAAATGAGCTGGAGAAGGAAATGGCAAACCACTCCACTATCTTTTCCAAGAAAACCTCAAATGGGAACATGAAGAGTAAGACAGGACTGAAATGACTGAACAACAACAGAGCTTGTCTAGTCCAATCCCCTTTTTTGTAGCTGAGAATAATAAGGCCTAGAGAAAATAAGCATCCTAGTCCACACTAGCAGTGAATGGCAGATACAGGATTTTAATTTGACACCCATTTGATGACACCACAGAAACCTTCAAGAGCTTCTGGTCCACTGTCCTGGACTTTAGGAAGCCAGGGTCATCACCACTCCACAATGAGGAATCAAAGTGGGAATTTCATAAAGGATCATTATTCTTGTTTTCTAAAGAAGGAAACAGGGTCAAAGATAGGAAGTGACTTGCCTGGGGTCATATGACCCTAGAAATGGGAATGGAGTCCAGCTAGGCCTTCGAGTTCCAAACCTGTCAGACAAAAGTTATGGGCAAGGCAGGATTGAGCTATACCCTCCCACGGAGCTTTCTTACATCCTGAGAAATGATTTTGAGATGAGCAGAGTTCATGCCTCTTAACTCCTCCTGTCTGCTTATTCTATCCTGCACTCCATTATCACCACAGTTGTCTTAAACAGCACATTTCAAGGCCTTGGCCTTCTTATATTCTTAGTAGCCCCAGTAGTGTTGTGCAATTAAGTCTAACTAAAATAGGAAAAGGGTCCCCTTAGCCATACATAAGGGATTCTGTGGACTGTATATTGATTTAGTATCAAAATGTAATTATTTATATTTATTGGTTTTTAAATTTTATTTTGTTAAATATTTCCCAATTACATTTTAATCTGGTGTGGGCCATCTTGGAAGTGTTGCAGGATAATGCAAGTTGGATGTTTGACATCTCTGGTGTAGTGAAAAAGTCATTGGATTGAGAATTAGAAGACCTATCTTTATGTTCCAAATCCAGATGCCCTCATCCTTTCACTTTCCTCATTTGGAAAACAGGAACTATAATTCCTGCCATACCTAATTAAGAACAGTTGTGAGGAAAATGGTTTGCAAACTCTCTTGTTTTGCTCTATGGCCATGATTATCAAACTTTTTGGTCTTAAGACCCCAATTACACTCCTACAAATCATTGAGGACTCCCCAAAGATCTCTTATTTATGGAGGTTGTATCTATCAATATTTACCATGATCAAAATT